ACACAATATTGAGCAGGTAGAGAAGGAAATATAGAGGAAGAGGGTGAATTCCCTAACAGGTTATCTGTTCAGTTTACGTTTTTTTTTTTTTTTTTAAAGAATTTGCTAAAGAACACGAGAAACATACGGAATTAAAATAATCCAAAATAAAAAACCACAAAACTATTGATCAAAACTTAAGTCCTATTGAGCTGAGAATTTTTGTGATTACCTCCATCTATTATTTTCTCAAGAGATGTTCTGTTTAGCTTTATAAAAATAATCACAAATGGAAGAAAATGGTACATCATGTTGTAGGTAAAAAGAATGTGGTGTGTGAGACTAATTACTATGTGTTCAGATTCTTTATTACACCAAATGCAGTGTATTGAGCTGTTTTCCAAATAGCACTAAGAACTCTACAAGTAAGTTATACTTGAAAGGAGTGCTAGATGTTGTAAGTGTGATGGATGTATCCACTCTTTCCTAAAGAGAAAAGCAATGTGGTTTTTATGCATCTTACTATTATCTAGGAATCAATGGAGTACAAAGCTTCGGAAGATGGATGCTTTTTTCCCAGCCGTCGTGTGTGTTACATGTCAGTGATAAAGGGAATACTACATTTCTTCGTGTATTGAAACTGCCGGCGCAATTCATTTCACAGTCATGTTTAAAGCACGCAACCCAAAGGTACTCGGTGTGGAACCTGAAATGGATTATTTAAAAAATAAACTTAACCTAAAGGAAGATGTATATTTAAAATATACATCCCAAACAAAACAAAACCACTCTCAATTCCCCCACTTTACCCCAAATATTGCAAATCCCAAAACCAAGACACTTGTTTCCAAAATAATATTCTTAACATTTTTTCATATATAGATCTCAAACACTTTACAAAAGAGGGTACATGGTATGATCCCTGTTTTATAGATGGGGAAACTGAGGCACAGAGCTGTGAAACGACTTGTCCAAAATCACATAACAGGTCAATGTTAGAACTATGAATATACCCCAGCTCTCCGGACTTTCTATGCATTGCATTATGAACTTAATGTTGCTAACTGATCAAAATGTAATCACTTATAATGTTGTTTATAGAACCTGAGTATTTTAAAAACAAGAGAACAAATAATTAAGATGTCAGAAATCATACAGTGCTCACAAATTAAATAGTCTTTCCAAGTATCAAGAAATTGCTGTTTCACCACAACATATCATCATAACCTTATCACTGGCCCATGGATTATTGGTTTTTTTATGTATCTTTTTCTTGATATTTTGATCTGTGTTTTTAAAGAAGTGTGCTAAGTGGGAAATAAAATATATCAGTGACTCTAGAACTGTAATTGCTGCTTTTGAGGATAACACTGTATATGTAGAGAGGAAATAAATATGTAATTTATTTTTGGTAGAATTACTTACGTATGTGGTGGAATCTCCTTCCTTAGAGGTTTTTAAGGTCCTGCTTTGAGCAGGGGGTTGGACTAGATGACCTCCTGAGATCCCTTCCAACCCTGATATTCTATGATTCTTGAAATCAAGACCAAAATTCCCACCCACTTCAATTGTACCAGCATATGACCCCAAGTAAAATTTGAATGACGTTTCTGTGTGTGCGCGTGTGTGTTCTGAATGGATGAGGAGAGAGGATGCAGGGATGGACCAAAAAAAAAACACCCTTGCAAAAACCAAAAAGGAGTTAGTCTGTGGTAGAACTAATCGGGAAATTTTCAGCAAAACAGGGTCTTGAACCTGGGTCTCCCATATGCCATCTGAGTGAACCCACCCTCAGGCTATTTGTGTGGGTGTGATTGATTTATTGATTGTGATTTTTCATCAAAAAATATTGAAAGATCTATTTTGTGATGTTGCAGAATGGGAGAATTTTCATGGAAGGAGAAGACCATTGCTCACCCAGCTCTACTCTGAGGTTTGAAACCCATTTGGTTTGCAGGAAACTATCCATAGCTTATGTACGTCCAATAATATGGAACCACGTGTTAAACACCATACAGGCACTGTAAGGATGGTCCCATATAAGTACCTTGATATATAGTGCTATGTCCCAGGTGCTTTCGGTTGTCTTCAGGAGAGAGCACTTCCTCTGCATCCCTCAGGCAGCTTCTAAGGTATATTAAAAGATGACTCTCCCTCTGTACCCTACACACTTTACAGAATGCACCACTGCATGCTTTGTAAAGTGCACATACGTTTCACAAGGACTGAGACAAGAACTTCAGGCCGTATGCATCTTGTCAAATGCATAATCATGTGTGCGGGAAGTCACTGCACTTTATAAGGGACTAAAACAAAGGTTTCTACATTGACAAGCAGCTTAATTCCCCAGCTCCCTGATGCTTGGTGTCTCCATAGGGGGCTCTGGCTGGCTGGAAGCTTAGAGGGCAGTGGATTGTCAGGTTGTGGAGGGATGTAGGGAACAGTGTTATGGGAAGACATGGTTTGCATAAGAAGAAACACAAGTTGTCCTAGCAGGCACCTTCCACAATTGCAAAACTATCAAGGAGTGTCAGGGAATCAGAGCACTCCTGTTGTGTGGCTTGTTAACAGGCCTACAGCTCAGAAACTCCTATCAGCTGGTGAAGCTTGTGAGAGAGGTAGCTGTGGTCTCCTAGGAGGGTGGGGTCAGGGAGCCATTAACTTTGGAACTCTTCTGTGGACATTAGTAGTGGTACTTATCTCCTATACAGGCCCAACAGAGCAAGAGGAGAGGAACTCTTCTTTCTGCACACCTTGGGAGGACCAAGCAAGAAAAATTTCAGTCCAGTGGTTTTCAGAAAGATAGGAGTGGCTGTAAACAGGGGTTAGAATGGGAACTTCTATAAAACCATAATTTCAATGGTGGCTGTACTGCTATGATATTGAACAGAACCTTCACAACAAGAAGGTACAACCAAAACAAAACTGGGTCCTAGCCTTGTTTCAAAAATGGAATCAGAAACACTCATTAATCAAGTACTGCAGGATATATTCATAAACAGAATTGTGAACACAATATTGGAGAAGGATAAGTTTGTATGTCTTTTCCATTTCAGTGAACTCATAATATGTTGCTACTTAATAACTCATATTAGTGTGAAATCAAATTCCCATGAACTTAAAGTATGTGGTAAAAGTGATTTTCCTGGGTGGTTTTCTTTACTCAGTGGTAGTGCACTTGATGTTGCAACTGATGTCCGGGATTGCAATCTCTCATTCTCTCCTTCTTAAATATTGTAAATGTATAAGAATTTGCATGCTGTAAATAGAAAGATCTACAAGTTCTCCAGTTTAATATGTAAAAATTGTTGCAAGGAACAAAATCTCTACCCTTGGAAAATTTCCAGGATCCTATTGCAATTCACTCATTCTTATGTGTTCAGAAGCTTGACTCTGATTAAAGGATATAAGTAGTACCTGAGACACGGTGGGAGAGGTAATATCTTTTATTGGACAAACTTCTGTTGGTGGAAGGGCTTTTTAGCTTCAATAGCTCTTCCTCAGGTCTAGGGAAGGTAATCAGAGTGTCTTCAATAATACCTGTTAGGTAAGTGGCACCTTTCTAGAGTTATTCTTCTCATCCTGTAATGTCAACAAAGTGCTTAAGCATATGCTTAAGTTCACCCCTGTTCAGAAAAGAGTATGTGCTGAAAATGCTTCTATGAACTGAGTGTCTGAGATTAGGAAGCCCTGGATATCTGGTCTACAAAATTGGTTTTAATATGCTTAAACATCAATCCTAAACTGCTAAAATATGTAGTTCAGTTTCCCCAAGGTAAGTGCCTTTTATTTAAGACCATCATGATGATCTTACTAGATCTATACAAATAGCATATTCCTTTAACAAAAAAATCCAAATTTTGAAAGGCGGTTATAAATTTTACAAGGTAGAAAAGAAAATTTAAAAATAAACAAAACAATAACAGAAACAAGCTTACTGATCTAATTTTAAAAAATCCCTTTAGCGTTTTGATGGATAGAAGGTTAGTTTCATTATGGGTCCTTGACTTTCCTTTCTTAGGATTCACTAAATCATAGGAAAGAGCCCTTTGCTGCATGTAGACTGCTGTATTATTAATCTTTGGCTTAAAGGCAGAAGATGAAATCATTCTCTGAAGGAAAAATCCTGGTAAAAGAGACATTTTTTAAATGGAATTGGCATTCTCTGCCTGTCAGTTTAGTCACTAACCAAACAGAACAGCAATTGGTTTTGCCTGATGTGTAGGAAGATTTTTTTAACTAACATTATTTCTTGCCCACTCATTTTCTGCCTTTCTCTTTATTTGTTCTAATATTTCAGTCATGATGACTAATTAACAATTTTACCTGCTAGAAATCAAGTTGAATCTGAGTAGTGTTGGTTAATTTGAAATCAAGGTTGAAATTCTGAATTTTGCATGGAAATTTCTAGTACATTTTGCATGTTGGCATAAAATGACATGCCAACCACACTATTTCCTATTTTGAAAGCATATGACTCATGTACCCTAAAGATACTTCTCTCCATGTAAATTTCGTATGTTCAGCAGAGAATTGCTTTGCATACTTCTGGATTTTTTAGAAATTTGTCGTTTTTTTTTACAGGAGACACAATAGAAGTCATAAAAAGAACAACAGGAGTACTTGCATATGCATATGCATCCGAAGAAGTGGGCTGTAGTCCACGAAAGCTTATGCTCTAATAAATTTGTTAGTCTCTAAGGTGCCACAAGTACTCCTGTTCTTTTTTTTGCGGATACAGACTAACACGGCTGCTACTCTGAAATAGAAGTCATGCTTTTGTAACTTTTAAGCAAACATTAGACCTAGGACTTTAGACTTTTTCACACTCCTTTGGAGAAAAAAATTGATTTTTAGTAACTTGCATGTTGTATAGTATTTATAAAGGTACAACACATTTATGAAGCTACAGCACAGCACTTATCAGGGACTTGTTAGCAGGTGGCTGAAATGTTTCATTAAAGTTTAACATCTGTAGATTGCTAGGCATATTATACAGCAATTTCTCATTTTGTTTTTAGGAAGAAAAGTCTAGAACCATCTATTAATCATTTCAGTGATGGTTCTGAAGCCGGGAATGGCTTCTGATGGTGACAGAGTGCATCCTTTGAATCCATAAAAAGATAAGTAGGAAGAAAAGAAATTGGAACTATTGATTGATAATGTTCAGCTGATGGGGTTTCCTGACACCACTGAAGTCTAATGGATTTTCCATCACTAACATCACTGGAATGGTATGAAAACTGGACACCATCTTTTCTTGGCAGAGTTATTGTAAAATAAACCGGTTAGGTAAGATTTGCTGACCACATAAAATGTTTCCCATCTCCTTCCCCCCAACCAAAAACTTAAGTCACTAGTTGAATCTTAGACCATTTTGTAAGATTTTTTTCTTTTATTTTACATTTTTCTTCCATGCTTCTTTTAATTAAAAGGGTGATGGTTTCTACACTGCAGAGGGAATTAAGAGACTGAGAATCCACAAACTATTGCAGTTTCAAATTCACTTTTTTCCTCCATCATTTTATTCCATTTTTGCCATATGATATAATTTGTATTCAAGTACTGCCAAGGCAATGATACATTCGAAGTACACACACATGTAACTCTGACCAAAGACAATGGCAGTTTTCTGTCTTAACAGACTGCAGGATTACACACTGGGTGCTTTTGTGGCGCCATGTGTCAGGTTGAACTTTGTAAATTATTAAATGAGTTGTCGAAACTTGTGAATAGAAAGATTCAAATTTTGCCAAACTGTGGAATATTCCTTCCTTTTTTCAATGTCATTTTGTTCACAATCTTACTGCATTGCCTCATGCTCTTGATGGAGAGCATTGATAGCTGTGGGATATTCATCCAATTTAGGACTAGACCATGGCTGGTCCTAATGCAGCTGCACAGGAGGAATATGGGGAGTAATACACACGCTCTCCTTACATGGCCTATCTGCATCCGGATGCCGGGTATAGGGTGGGGGTTGAGAGCAGGCTATATATGCCCATTGCTCCTCCCTGTGAGGATGTGAGCAGAGAGGGGGATGTGGAGGGGCAGGAAGTGGGAGGTGCCTGGACTTCTCCTCATCCTGACAACTTTAGGCACCCATATTAAAAAGTTTGGTCTTAATGTGGCATAATATCTTCACATCTTATCCTCGTGGCACATCCTTCACATGAGGATATCTTAAATCAACTGAAATGGAATGGCTCTGGCCCAGTCTGAGCTCAGCGATGCTGTACAATTATTGACTCAAAAGTACGTGGTAATTTCCAGTACAATATCAACATCACTTCACTTTGACTTGTTTCTGTCCTCCATATTTCCTGTATGCCCACATCAAATTAGGCTACCTTGATGTTTTTGTCTTTTGTGATAGAAGAACAAATTCCATTTCTGAATTTACATACTAAAATATCTGTAGCTCAAGTGTTCTTACTCTTATCTAAACATGTTAAGGTATTTTATGAAAGACCAGATGAGAGATGTAAAAGAATTCTAGCAATCCAAACACTTGAGGGTGATTTTGATTTTTGTACTTAGGCTAAATTCACATTGAATTCAATCATATATCTAAATACAGTAGGAATTTTGCTTGGGTATGGGTTTCAGGAATAGCTCCTTGGAGAATCTGTCTACCTTCAAGTTTAGAAGGAATTCATTCATACTTTTTAAAGCTTTTGTCATGACCTAGAGTACTTCTAATTACAACCTCACTTTGATTTATTTTAACCTCTTCATTAAAGATGGTCCCAGAGGTATATAACTTTTAAAACTGAATTTCAATCCAAATTTCCCACAAACGTAGGCAGTGTTTTGATTATGGGTTATCTCTAATCTAGAATATAATGGAATATATCACATGCAGTAGCTAGCTGTTCTCCTCCTTTAATCATCATCATCATCATCATCAAGGCAAAAAAAGCCTTAAGAGCCACCTATTCCATGAAGGGTTCTTGTTACTCGGAGTTTGTATTTTTTGCCTTGAATTTGCATTTACCTCTAGAATCGCTGCACTACGAGTATGTAATTGCTTTTTAAAGCTACCTACATTATGAACAGCTTTATATAAAATCATATTAAATTTAACTGTATGGAATAGTTAGATGATGAGTGTCACAGGCTGTGACTGCCTTCCAGCACCCTCTTCTGGCTAAGTGTGGCTTTCCAGGAACTTCCTGTCTCAGTTTCCCATCTCAGGAACTCAATAACTCCACTTCAGGTGCTCTTGACTTAATAATACCCTCCTTGGGGCCAGTTTATTATAAAACCGCATACAAAATAGCCCATAACAAAAGTCCCAAATAAACAAAAGTTTCTTCTGGCCTTCAGTGTTCCCTTGTGCCATGTTCCCAGTCCCTTCAGGGTTACTTCTCAGTCTCTCTCTCTCTCTCTCTCCTTATGGCAAGAGAGCTCTGCTCTTCTCCTGGAGCTGGGTAATTCAGGCAGTTGTTACCTCTCTCCGTAGGCCAGGAGTGCCCTGTTCTCCTGCATCTGGGATGTAATTTAGTCCAGTGCAGGACCTTAGCCAGCTTCTCCCTCAGCTGTACCACGTAGTTCTCAGGCTCAGAGGGTTTGATAGCTGCCTTCTGCTGGTATTTGACCTTTTATGAGGGACTAGGCAGGATATATGCTAGTCCCCATCCCTGATTGTTTGGGTAAGAGGGGAGCCTTGCCATGCTCTCTCTGCAAGGCTCCTCAGATTTTTAAAGATACAGTGACAAGCATCACTCACTCCCAAGACAGCTTCCTCTCTCTCCATATCCCTGTTCCATCCTTATATTGAACCTCTTATATCCATAAACGGCCATGCCATATGTTGGGGGCTGGACTGACAACTAGGCACTACTATCTTTAAGGGGCAGACTACCCTGTCACAATGAGATTTTATGGGTGGAAAGAGGTAGGGGTAGGACTACAAAACAAAACATTTTTTTTTTAATTCCAGTCAATTAAAAAGGAGTCTCTCGTCTATTTATACTGGATCCTAAAGGGCAACTGAGGCAAATACTCACTAGTAGTGTTGTCTAATATGGTAATTAGAACAAGGCAGCGAGGTGTTACTTTGGGCAAGTCACTTGACTCCTATAAATCTGTTTACCGATGTGTTAATTCAGTATGATACTTGCATATTTTTGTTTTGTTGTTACATTAAAGTTAATGTTTGTGAATTCTCTGAGAACCTTACATTAAATACACTATATACAAACACCAAGTGCTAAAGACTATATTTGTCTTCAGTAATAATGCAAGCGCTGAATTAACTCCTACATAGATTTAAGTGGGGGAGAAACACGGCTTATTCTTTGAAAGGAAAATTAATATCAAACACATTAGGTACCGAAGCAATATTTGCATGTCCAATTGCAAATACCTTAAGAATGCTAAAATTGTGGCATATAATTTGGTGATGAAGATTAAATGGATATTTAAAAAATGGAAGTCAATTTGTCAACTAATTCACTGCCAAGAGTAAGTGCTGCTGTTCCTGCTTTCTGTGAATAACTTGGTGTTCTAGAGGTGATCAGGAAGAAAATCAGATTTAGTTTCTATAACTAGTCAGTATGCAAACGAATCTACAATTTCCTACTTATTTGGAATTGGAGTTCTTTGTATGGTATTGATACACTCCTGGAATATCTGATTTAAATAAACAAACACTTTACCTGGAGACATGCTTAGGAATATAACTGGACTTAAAGGAGTTTAGTATTCAATTTTCCATAGCATATGCAATCTTATAATATATTACTATTATAATTACAGAATTGTTTCTGTAAATAATAACTAATGGTGACTTATTTTCTGACTCCATTAAGGCAAGAGGTGTAATGGAACTTTAAGTTAATATTGTACAATTTCCTGTTCTATTTACAACATGAATTAAATGTAATGACTCCTATTGAAGTCAGTGGCAAACTCCCACTGGCTTCAGTTGACCCAAGATCAGGCCCAGTGTCAGTTGTGAATGCTCAGCCTCTCTCAGGATCAGGTCCTAAATAAGAAGTGATTCATATTTTTGTTAATATCTGCTCTTTAACATGACAAGAAGGAAATGAATTTCTGGAAAATGGGGTTGAGTGTGTGCATATTTAGATAATGAGGTGTTGTGTGGGGGAAAAGTTACATATGTGCAACTTTTACTTTTCTGGTCTTTGTTTTCCTCCTCTATAAAAGCGTAGTATACTGTAACTTCCTGGGTATGCTAGAGAAAAGTACTGTACATTTTTATGTAATTGTAATTGCCTGAAGTAACACACATTTGTTTTATAATCCATGATATGCATTTTGTTTGATGTCTCATTCTGTCAAACAGTGCTGCAGTCTAATAGGTCTGTTTCTTTTTCTCTGTTTCTGTCAGGATCTGAAAGAAATCAGCCATGATGGAAAAGTGTTACATGCAGGACTGTGTTGAGGACTACTTGAATTGTTAATGTCTAACACAGAAGGCTGCTTGGCTATTGGTTCAGCGTGGCGTGAGGGATTTTTATTGTAAACTTTAAAAATAACTATGTCCAAGAAAAGCCGTGCCAAGGGAGAGAGGTCCGACATGGAGATAGAAGCAGTTCAGGCTGCTAATGAGGAACTACGGATCAAACTGACCAACATCCAGATAGAATTCCAGCAAGAAAAAAGCAAGGTATGTGTTTGCACGCTCTAAGAATGCTTCGAAGTGGTATGTTCAGTTCTGAACCAGCAGACAATTTGACACCAGTGTCTCTCAAAAATAATGTACTTTCAAAATGAGTTGATATCGGCTTGGATCTGCGCACTGTCCTATGGACTGAACGCTGGCTGAGGGACCGTAGCCAGAATGAAATGAATAAAGAGAAAAGTATTAAACAGTGAGGTGTGTAGTGAAATGTAATTGTACGAGGTCCAGTCTTATTTAAAATCTTCATTAATAACCTGCAAGAGGGAGTAAATGTCTGTCAAATTTGCAGTGTTGCTAAATCGAGAGGTATTAACAAAATGTGACTAAAGGAAATAAAGTGAATGATCAGGAGGTTTGTATCAGAGCTTAGTATTTGAAACCCTGAAAGGAATTGAAGGGAAAGTTGAACTTGTAAGTCACATTCAAAGCATTCCACTTAAGTGCATATGCAGAATGCAGACTGACTGAGGGAATCGTTGATGCAGTCCTGATTTGACCCCATTAGGTTGCATGTGGTGTTGGCTATTTGCATTTGGAACAGCAGTCTAAATGTTACTCTTCACACTGTAATTGCTCCAGATATGTGAATAATCAGTGGCATACCCAAGAGATTTTGTTCGTTCATCAATTATATATATTTAAACAGCTGTTAGCATGTATAATTTTATTTCCTTGCAGCATCTCAGAGGTGGATGGACCAGTAGGCTTATTATTAATTAATTGAGGACCATCAGTGCATTTGACTCCCTACAAAACACACTGATTTTTATAGACTGCCAGATCCACTCTAGGTATTTTTTCTGCAGTTAAAGGTAGTCTCAGAAGTGTTATATGTAACCCATAGCATGAATAAGTATGTGTGAGATAATCGTGTAAAGAAGAAATTCTGATCTCTATGCTAAATTTTTCACATAGCTGAGTAAAAGATTTCACATACATCCCTTTGCATGCGGATTCAGAGACCTGTAATCAGAGCAAACATTTTATCACTACCCACTAACACTTCCAGGTGGCTCCGGTTGTCTTTTTCCATCATTATTTTTAAGGTAGGTTTTGAAGCAGAAGCAAAAAATTCTCTGCCATTTACAATATATAAAAATGGTCTCAAATGTAACACTTTTTTCTGCTTGGTCTATCTGAAGACTGTTCTCCACTGGAATGGGAGAATCTTCATAAGATCTTTGGAGTTGTGATTCTGTGATCAGATTCTATCATCTGATCTCCAGCTCTACTTACTCTGCTGTGCCCTCTCTAACTTTCGGAGAGGGTAATAATGCTGGATCTTAGGCTTTGTCTACACTACACAGCTTTTAGCGACACGGCCGTGTCCCTAAAAGTCGGGCAGTGTCAATGCTGTGTGTCGGCACTTTTGCTGACAAAATACTTCCGCCCCCTATGAGCGGGGTTCGCGTTGTCAACAGAAGAGCGCTCCTGCCAACAACGAGCTATTTACGGTGCCACTTGCCGTGGCAAAACATTTGTCTTTTGGGAGGCGGGGGGGAGAGTGCTTTTTTGAGCACCTGTGAACGACAAAAGTTTTGTCGTTCAATTGGCAGCGTAGACAAAGCCTTAGACAGTCGTCTTATTTTATATAATTAATTTAAATAAAATGTTGCAGATGAAAATCAGATTTTTTTTTCTTTCGAACAAACTCTTACTCAGTTGCCATAATAAATTCAGTATGGAGCTGGTGGAAAATCCGAATTTCCGTCCCCTAGGAAATTATGACGTTAGTTTTTCATCACAAATTGGGACAAAATATCGAAATGTTAAAATATTTTGCAGAACAGAAAGTTATGAAAAACCTAATTACAGAGGATAATTTTTACTTCTCCTTCTTGCACATTCCTGCTCAGTTTACTTGAGTTTGAGCTGCAGCCTGATCCCTTCTTAATGCTTCTCATGGATTAGTCAGAAGAATTGGTGTGCGAACAGTGCAGCCAATGTTATTGTTGTTCCCCTCTGCCTCCCCTTCCGCCACAGATAAAGTGAGTAAACTGTGATGCTGGGGGTGGTGCAAAGCTTTCTGTGTGTCTTAGAACAACAGGCCAGGAAGCTTGCCAGCCATTCAGGCCCTGTAAACCCAAGGAGAGACTGACAATTGTGCTGTAGCACTGCTATCCTTTTATAGTACCTCAGTGCTGCTATGTTTTAAAAGACAATTCTCAGTTTAAATTTCACCATTCTATCAAATTAATCTGAAAATATATATATATTTTAAAATTTCTCAGCTATTTTGCTTCATTTTCTTTCTTAAAGTAGCTCATGTATACAGGCAATGCCAGTGCCCTGATAGTGTGACTGCTGCATTATTCTGCCATTAGAGACCATCTGCTTTGGAAGTTACCTTAAACTTCTGTTCTCCCAGCTGGAGAGTTGCCATCCATGGTTGCCATGGTGGAAACTCTGTGTTTATGAAAGGCAGTATCAGGGATATGTGAATGAAAGAAGCCAGACTGCATTGCCCTAAAATCCAGCACTTCTTTAATGCAGCCAGAGCAATTGCACAGCAATACCTGTATCCCCTACAATCCGGGTGACACCATCCACACTTCATGTCCCCTACTCTCCCTCAAACCACACACCCCTTCCATCCAAGTAGTGAGGGGAGGAGATGCTACATAATCAGTGTGTCTAATGGAGGAGTAAAAGGGTAGATGTGAGTAACAGTAAATCTGAAAGGATTAGGCCATACTAGTTGTTTTTTGTTGTCAGAGTATAGGGATAGGGACGGAGGCAGAAGATTAAATCCTGGTTCTACTAATGTTAATGGGGCTAGGATTTCACCTAGAGAGAAGTGGGTTTGATTGATGGAATGACCTGGTGTGCTATGTCACCGAGTCCTCTGTACTATCGGATCAAGTACAAGGTTGTGCCGTGTCTGAGCTGACAAAGATACTGCAGGAAATTTGGCAGCATTTTGGTAGCATATGTAAAGTAATGGAGAGTTCTCTATCAAAAGATACCTATCCTATGTATCTATCTCATAGAACTGGAAGGGACCCTGAAGGGTCATCGAGTCCAGCCCCTGCCTTCACTAGCAGGACCAATTTTGCCCCAGATCCCTAAGTGGCCCCCTCAAGGATTGAACTCACAATCCTGGGTTTAGCAGGCCAACACTCAAACCACTGAGCTATCCCTCCCCCCTCAATTGGATACAATTGAGCCCTTGGGGATTAATTCTTTTTATGGAGTAACTCAAACTGAATAATGAAAAAAAAACTAACTGAAATTAAAGATAAAAATAAACAATTTCAGGAGGCAAGAAGCACTGTTCCTAGAGAACCTAAATGAATGAAATGGCTTTATTGGCACAGAGGTGAATGGAAAAGTATTGAGGCTGCCCAAGAAACAATTCAGTGGCATCTGGAACTTGTATAGTGTTAGCTAAGGAAACAGTCTTTTGAGGTTAATTAACTTAATTTAAATCCCTTAAATTTAACTTAATTTAAATCCCTTAAATTTAACTTAATTTAAATCCCTTAAATATGCTGTCTTTCTATTTAGGGATATACATGTATACATATGTTATATTAATGATTTATCGGAGGAAAAGCTTCTAAATTTACCCGGGACATAACTATCTCCTAACATCATTAGATAACAAGTTAGAAATGTTCTTAGCTGCTTGTATAATCATTAAGAGGATATATTTCAGTCCCAGATTACATTGTGACACTTTAAAAAATTAACTTTAGCATATTTCTATACACTAAAAAACTATGGCTGTTGTGAAACCAAATCTTACCTGAGCCATCACAAACCAGAGTATGTCTCCCCAATGGGCTGTGTTTGTTGTTGAACAACTTAAATTGTTGGCTCCTGCAAATTCACTCGTGTGTGTGTGTGTGTGTGTGTGTGTGTGTTGTGATGATATCTAAAATGAAAGGCAAAGCAGAGAAGAGTGTAGTTCAAGTATGTGTCAGTGTAGATCTGGCCGTAGATGCACATGCGCCTTGTGTGAGAGATTGGATTTTTTTTGAATAGCAGTGTCCATCATGGTCTCTCACATTCCCTGTGCCTCCTGATGCTCCCATACAAAGGTATAAAAGAAAGGGTGACCGCCTGTGGCAACAGGATGGAACCTAGCAAGTCTCTGACCCACTAGTTCTTAGTTTTTGGCTAAACCTTCTACAAATCCTCTAAAAACCTTCATAGCTCATCTGATTTATCTTGACTTATGACTGCTGTGATCATATCTACTTGTCTGGATCAAGGATTGATGGTTAGACCTGCCCCCTTGAATGGCAGACTCTAAGCCTGTGGGCTTCAAGCTCTGTCCATCCTGCGATGAGTTAATCCCCTTAAAATCTGGGCACAGTTAGGTGCCTCTTCTCCTTAGGAGAATCACTTATACTGAGCAAATGTTTGGTGTGCCTGTCATTCTCCACTAGGATAAGAACGTAAGAATGGTCATACTGGGTTAGACCAAAGGTCCATCCAACTCAGTATCCTGTCTACTTTGGGTAAGTTATTCCATGATTGTCTGTTGGGTTTTCTTGAAGTATCTGAACCTGACAGGTGGTTAGAGGCAGGATATATTGAAAAAGATGGATATTCTGATTTGCTAGTTGTATGTTTGTGTCTTGTAAACCTACATTCTCAATCCCTAGTAAAATAATGGTGGGGGAGGGAGGGAACAAGAGAGTACTTGTAAGCATCTGAATCATAGAATATCAGGGTTGGAAGGGACCTCAAGAGGTCATCTAGTCCAACCCCCGAAGGGAAACAAAATATGAAAAATAAGCAGCAGAAAATTACAAAGAATAAATAAGGCCAGCCTCATTTTGATTATAATGTAAAATTAGTAAATGAAGGGAATACAGTAGATTTGATCATTTGATTTCTGGAACCGTAACACATGATTCAGTAGAGAAGGGGAGAAGATATATGATCCAAGGATTGACAGACTTCTTTATTGTTAGGAAGAGCGTGTAATAAAGCACATTAATTAAACTCACAGATAGCACCAAGTTGGGAGGTGG